TCAATAAGTTTGTCTATGGGAATGGAAGTTTGTTAGTGATATGATCTGATTTCTTCAATTTAACATTTCATTTAAACATTTCAATTTAACATTCAATAGAAATTACACTACTATGCATTCAATCTTTGACCAGGTCTAGAGTTCAAAGTATGAGGTCTCTTTTCACATATTAGAGTAATTGAATTGCTGTAGTGAAGTTCTGAATTATAAAAAATCCTGATGAAATCAGTCAAAGAGATTTAACTTCACTGAACACAAAGCAAATATTTTATAATCCAAGTACATCTTATCAGTGCCATCCCAAATTTTTTAATGGAATTCTTTCATTCATCATTCTCCTCAAACTGCCCTAATGGTAGTAATATAAACAGCAGTTATTGGTATTGCTGCACCTCTCCTTCTATATTTCTACTCTAGCCACCACTTCCACCATTGTCTTCACCTCCNCATTCTGAGAATAAGGAACATAAACATGAAAAGTGAATCCCTGATTGCTCTGAAGTGCTGTCAAATCCTTCATATATATGAGCACTGGGCAGTAATAAAAAATAAAATCTAAAAAAAACACACATCTGTGGCCCCAGTTCATGCAAGCATTCACCCTTCCAAGTATGAGTCTGACCTCTCAGGCTGGGAATGTTGCCTAATTGGAAAAAAAAAAAAGTCCTTAGTAAAAACTAATTCTTTTATTCTGATAGGATTTTCTTCGATAATCCTTATAAATTAAGAATCTGTCTCATTGAAGACAGTGAATACATTTCAAGTTAGTTTGCAAAAAAATAGTTACCAGGATGTCAAAAAAAAAAAAAAAAAATCTAGACCCAACCTTGTATATAGAGAATGAGCTCAATTATATCCGTATGAATATGCATGTAGAAGAAAAAGTGACTGGAAGAAAAGGCACCTGATGTTGGCAGTACAGAAGCTCGATTCAGCCTAATAGTCATGGCATCAGGTAAGGCCTAATCATATTTGCTACAATTTTGCAGACTTAGTTGCTTTGCCCAGTGACACCCAGAGGGACCGTGGCTAAAATAATAGGAACTGCCTCTTTCAGCTTTCCCACCAGGGACCTGAGAGTTTCTGTCCAGAGTTTACCACAAAATGGTGTGTCTGTCTGTCTGTTTTTAAGGAAAATGAACAGGCAGAAAAGATCAACATCAGCCTGGCTTTCTTCTTGTATGATCTTCTCTCACTCATGGATCGTGGCTTTGTGTTCAACCTCATCAAGCATTATTGCAACCAGGTGAGTATCCCCGCGGAGGGAGCCACTCTGTTCCTTCTCATATGATGCGATGCTCGTTGCCGCGGTCTGCTAACTTATTTCCTGCTGAGTTATACAATGTGACTCCTATAGGTCCTGGGTTTTGGGGCACATTCCTCATGTCTGTGCTGTGGACACCCTTCAGACATGCTGGTTTATCTAGATTCCCAGAGCATTTCCCAAAGCAGCACAGAAGGTTCAATAAGTTTGTCTATGGGAATGGAAGTTTGTTAGTGATATGATCTGATTTCTTCAATTT